CACCAACACACACCAACGCACACCAACGCACACCAACACACACCAACACACACCAACAACACACACCAACACACACCAACACACACCAACACACACCAACACACACCAACACAAACCAACACCAACACACACCAACACACACCAACACACACCAACACACACCAACACACACCAACACACACCAACACACACCAACACACACCAACACACACCAACACACACCAACACACACCAACACACACCAACACACACCAACACACACCAACACACACCAACACACACCAACACACACCAACACACACCAACACACACCAACACACACCAACACACACCAACACACACCAACACACACCAACACACACCAACACACACCAACACACACCAACACACACCAACACACACCAACACACACCAACACACACACAACACACACCAACACACACCAACACACACCAACACACACCAACACACACCAACACACACCAACACACACCAACACACACCAACACACACACACACCAGCACACACACACAAACACACACACACAAACACACACACAAACACACACAAACACACACACATACACAAACACACACACAAACACACACACAAACACACACACACACACCAACACACACATACACACAAACACACACACACAAACACACACACACACACATAAATACGCACAAATAACAGGATCCCCCTACATTTTCCCATGTTTCCTGGGTTTTCGTCTTCCCCCCATCTCCCATCTCTTCCCATATCTTCCGGGGGATCGACGATTCATTGTGTCGGTGTGTTTTTGTTCCCTCCTGACCTCTGTGGCTTCGGAGGAGGCTCAGCAAGCTACTCAGCATCGGGGGCGCGCAAACACGGATCGGGTGAGGCGCCCTCCCCAGGATGCGGCCGGTCCCGCCTCGCTCGGCGGCGGCACGCCGCGACTTCCCCTTGGAAACGGGACCCGTCGCTGAGCCACGCCCTCTCGATCCACGCCTGCGATTGCCGGATCAGAAGGCCGCGGCCCCTCTCTGGCCATCGCTCGGACGTCCATCCCCTGTGCTTTTTTCGGCTTCGTGCGTGGCTCTTTCGCCAAAGGATCAAGGATGCTCCTCGATGCTCCCCGCCGAAGGAACAAAAAGCACACGCCCGAGCGGTGCCAAGATCCGCGCTCGCGATGGCCGGGTCAGAGGGCCGCGGCCCCCTCCGAGCCCTCCAAGAGGGCCGCAGCCCCCCCCCCCCCCAACGGCTCTCCCCCGACCGGCGCGCCGCCGAGGCCCGCTCTCCCGCGGCCGCCGCGGCTCGCGGCGCCCCCCCCCCTCTCCCGCTCCTTGGCGATGTTCTCGGGCGGCGTCGCGTGCCCTGCATGGGGCCAGGGTGGGGGGGGCCGGGAGGCGGGGGCGGCGGCGAAGCGGTGCGAGGAGAGCAGGGGAGAAGGGGAGAAGGGGAGAAGGGGGAGGAGGGGGAGGAGGAGGAGGAGGAGGAGGAGGAGGAGGAGGAGGAGGAGGAGGAGGAGGAGGAGGAGGAGGCGGAGGAGGAGGAGGAGGAGCACTCCGACCCGCGACGCGGGACTCGTGCAAGTTTGGCGCTGTGGGGGGCGACCTCCGCTTCGGCGGAGCGCCAGGCAACAAAGCGTGGGGCGTGCAGGTAAACGCCGCTCGGCCACGGCTGTGGCCACCTAGGTGGCTGCCGGACCAGCTGGGATGGTGCTCGCGGCGAGCGCCACGGCCGGAGGCGATGCTTTGCACCCCGACCGGCGCCCGCCGATTCCTGGAAGATGGCACTGCGTCCGCTGGCTGGCCGGTGGGGAACGCTGGCGATAGGGGTCGGGTGGACAGCGGAGAGAGGAAGAGAGGGAGCGGGAGAGATCTCGCCTTGAACTCGTGCTAGTGGTCATCCGCCTGGAGTTCCCAGGCGCTCTGAGGGCAAACCTGGCGGCACCGCGTTGCGGCTGCGTCGCAGTCGCGCACATGCCACCAAAGCCTGCCGGAAGCCGCTCGATCAACCGAATCTTCGACGCCGAAATCGGCAGTCAGCTTCTCGGTCAACTCGCCCCCCTTGCCGTGGTGGCTCCCGGGGCGCGCGTTCCCGAAGGGGGGGGGGAGGCAGGCGCCCCCGAAACGTGAGCGGAAGAGGCAGACGCTCAGAGCCCTCTCCGCTCGGGCCGGGCGAAAGGGGGGGATAGTACAGTCAAAAGCCCTAATAAGGACGCGCGGTGAGGACGCAAGACCCTTGGAAGCCGACGTTGGGATTTTTGGGGCGGCGGTCGACGAAAACCTCAAGGACGCAAGAGCAAGGAAGAGCAACGACGCAAGGGTACCCTGAGCAAAGTCGCGCGTCCTTATTAGGGTTTTTGACTGTAAAGGGGGGGTTTGAGAAGCAGCTCACGTAGCTGATTTTCCTGGCGCCTCCCGGCGCTAGGAGGCGCTCATGTATCGAGGAATGGATGGGCCCAGCGGCGGGGCCGAAACCAGCTGCATGCAGCAGATTTCGTAACCCCCCCTTGCGCTATCCCCCCCTTTCGTTCGGCCCGATCCTCCATGAGGCCGACGAATTCGCCGCACTATCCGGCTCACGATGCGGAGACCCGCATCTTGAGCAGGGACCGACCGTCCCGGCATTCCTATACAGTCCTACCGCGAAAATGTTCTTAGAACCCACACATCTTCTAAGAACAAAGAACAATGTTCTTAGAACATAAGCCCAGTGTGATGAAACAGGACGGCCCCGGCCAGAAATGTTCTAAGAACTTTTCGTGGGAACCACCAAAGGTTCTTAGAACATTGTTTTGTAGGACTAGAGGCACGCCAGGACGCTTCGCCACTGCTTGATATCTGGCTCGCGCACTATCTTTAAGTCGGGCACGTCCCCCTACAGGGGGATTTTGGGCGAACGATCAAACATACCCTAAACATACCCCCAAATTGGCAAAACTAGTCAACAAATCATCCCCCGACTATTTTCTTAAACGATTTTTGAAGATTCCCCCCTGTAGAGGGCAGGCCATTTGTTCGCATTTTCTGGTAAATCTCAAATTTTTCCTCGAAGGTCCCCCCTGCAGGGGGACGGGCTCGACTCAACACTACCCGGCTCGCGCTGAGGAGAGGCCCGCATCACAGCGGTGCCAGCCAGGACGCCGTGGAGCCCGCGCGCGGGCTGCGGGCCCCCTTGGCGCCCGCCGCGCGCTCCAGGTCCAGCAGCCGCCGCGCGCTGGCGGGCGCCCCCGACCTGTCGACCTCGAGCGGGGCCCTGGGGCACGCGAAGAAACGGACACGAAGCACAGGGGCCCCCCCTGTGTTTTCCCAGGTTTTCTGGGGTTGTCGTCTTCCCCCCCCCCCCCCCCACACTTCCCTTGTTTTCCCCTCCGTTCGGGGGATCGACGAGGATTTTTTTTTTTTTTTTTTTTTTTTTTTTTTTTTTTTTTTTTTTTTTCCCTCCTGAGACCTCCAGCCACGAGGCGGCGCGGGCAGGCGCGCCGGATGCGTCGGCGGCGCTCTCGGCGGCGGCGCCGTTGGCGCCCGCGCTCCTGAGGCGGTCGAAGGCCGGTATGCACAGCACGCCGAGCAGCGCGCCGACGATGCAGGCGGCGAGGTAGATCTTGCCGAGGTCCCAGTCGATGCCAGATCCGGACTCCGCGGGGCCCAGCGCAGCCTTGCCCCCGCCCTTGCTCCTGGACCTCAGCCACGCCGGCGCGCTCGCGGGGGCCGCGGCCGGCCGGGGCGCGGCGCCGCCGCCTCCCCTGGCGGACGTGGGCTTCGGGGCGGCCCCGCCGCGCGGGGCCGGCCGCGGGGCCGGCGCGGGGCCCAGCGGCGTGGAGCGGTGCGACGGCCCGCCGGGGTCCGCGGGGACGCTGACCGCCTTGCCCTCCGCGTCCGCCGGGCAGAGCCACTGCGCAATGCCGCCGCTGGCAGTCTCGGAGGTGTCCGCCCCGAGGTTGTCCACCACGTGCCGCATGGTGCCTCGGCCATTGAGGAACACCGCCACCGGCGAGACGATCGAAGCCATCACGTGCGCGGGCGCGACGATACCCGCGTGCACCGTCACGGGGAAGTCGCGAAAGTAGTGGTAGACGCCCGCCCCGAAGGCCCGGTGCTCGGTGACGTTGTTGCTCACCCTGTAGCCCGCGTAGCCCATCTCACCGTACGCCTCAGCGACGTCGTAGGGCAGCTCCGACTGGAAGAAGTAGGTCGCGCCGCGGTCGCCGCTCCAGCGAACCTGGTCTCCCAGGGTGTGCTCGGCGGCCAGGCCGTACATGGTGACGTCGTCGCCCTCTACGCAGAGCGCAACCTCGCACGGGTGGGCGCCGCCCTTGACCTCCCCTGCCTCTGTGTGGTCTGCGCGCCACAGCCACAGGTTGTCCCCGATGACGTTGCCGGCGTTGATGCGGATCATCGTGGAGGCCCGCTGCTCCGAGGGCTCTGCGGGCCCGCCCACCCGAGCGAACACGTCGTGGAGGAAGCCGGGGTTCCCGGCGTCGCCCGGGAAGCCCCGGCTGCCCCACTCCAGCAGCGAGTCCGAGCGCTCCGGGCCGGCCTGCAGCAGGACGCCCGCGACGCGCACCCCGCCCACGTCGCCCACCCGCACGGCCGGCGCGCCCCGCATCGCGACCAGCGTCGCGAGGCCCAGGCCGAGCAGGACCTGGTTGGCGGTCTGCAGCCGAAGGGGGGCGTCCAGCTGGTACACCCCGGGGGCCAGCACTACGTCCAGGCCCTCGGCCAGCCTGGCGTTGATCGTGTCGGCGGTATCCCTCTCGGGGTCGGCGACGAATACTCTCTCGAACGGCACCTCGCGCGCGCCTTCGTCCCAGTCGAATCCCACGCGGGCCGCCTTGACCTCTGGGACGGCGAGGCCGTACTTCCCGTCCGCCCCTATGAAGACGAAGGGCTTCTCGGCCACCTTCGGAGCTTCGCCGACCTCAACCACGTGCTGTACCTGCTTACCAGCCTGGAACATATCCCTATCCCTATGTTGGGCATCGCCTCATCACGATGCCGATCTTAGGGATTTCCTCAGTTTCTGAGGGTGCATCCCTAAGAATGTCATCTCCTTTTAGCGTGTCAATCTTAGGGGTGGGGATAAGTTCGAGGCTGGAGACCTGCGAACCCTCGTCCCCGGCGCCGCAGGCGGTGCCCGGGGCGCCCGTGGTGCCGACGAAGACCATGTTCCACACGCCCCCGTCGGCGGAGCTCAGCGCGGAGTTGCGGGTGAAGTACTGCTGCTGCGACCCGTACGCGACATGCCCAAGAAGGTTGGAGTTCGCGAGGAAGCCACCGCTGGCATACCCGGCCGCCTCGCCATCCTTGTATTGGAACAGGATGAGATCTCCGCTGACTACCAGCCGCCTCAGGGGCGCCGCTTGCGAAGTCGCCCAGAGCATTCCGCGCAGTTCGCCGAACCAGTTATTCGTCGCATCCGACTTGAAATTCTCCGCCACGCGCCAAAACGTCGTCAGGGCCCCGCGGTCCTGATTGTAGCTGCCCTCCTCGCAGTACACGCCCTTCTCGGACGAGAAGACAACGTCCTCGGGGCTCCTCCCGAGGCCAGCCACCTGGGTGTAGTAGCCTACCGGAACCTCCACGTCGTACTCGCCGGGCCGGAAGAGGAAGGCGAAGCGGTGCTGGGAAAACTCGCCGTTGTTCCCTTCGCCACCGTTCACCCGGTACGCCTCGTCCACTGCCGACCGGATGTCGGCGGCGCTGTCTTCCGGGCCAAAAACGCGCACGGAGCGGGGCCAGGCCGGGGGGTTGGGCTGGTCTTAGGTCGGGCATGTCTCCCAGCAGGCGGATTTTGGACACACCATAAGAAATACCCCAAACACAGATTCACAGACAGCCAAACAAAAATTCTAGAAAAATCGTCCCCCGCCGATTCTTGGACCATTTTTGGATGTTCCTCCTGTAGAGGGACACGCCCGACTTAAGGCTGGTCCTCGGGCGCCACCTCTTTGGGTGACCCAACAGGGGGTCCAGCTGAAAGGGGGTGGTGCAAAAAAATTGGGGCAAATATGTTGCAAATGTAACGCGCCAGAGATTTGTGCTGCAGTGTATTGCAAGTAGTGTGCTTCACGCGCACAAGGCAGCAATACATCTGCGCCCCGACATGCACTCGCACGCCCCAAGATGTCTTGCAACCCCACGAATCTATCGCACCAAATCTGTTTTGAGCAGGAACCGACCAACCCGGCACTCCTATAGTCCTACCACGAAATATTCTTAGAACCCCAAGATGTTCTAATAACAAAAACAATGTTCTCAGAACATAGACCCGATGTGATAAAGCAATACAGCCCCAGCCAGAAATGTTCTAAGAACATCTCGTGGAGACCACCAAAAAGGTTCTTAGAGCATTGCTTAGCAGGACTACAAAGGCACGCCAGGACGCTTCGCCACTGCTCGACTGTTGCACCACCCCCTCGCCGCTGGACCCCCTGTTGGGCCAACCCGAGTCTCCACGGCCCAGGACGCAAGTGGCGCCGCCAGCAGCGCCAGCACCGGCACCACGCCTCGCCTCGCCCCCCGGGCCTGCGCGGCTGCCGCGGGCATGCGGCCCGCCAGGCGCGCCTTCTCGGCCTGCTTCGGGCGCCGAGGGGGCGAGGCTTTGGAGACCCCAGGACCGAAGCGACAAGTCGCACCGGCGATCCATAAAGGGGCCCTGGGACACAGAAAGAAGCAGGCACAGATAACAGGACTCCCCCCAGTTCCCCACATGTTTTGGGTTTTCGTCTTCCCCCCCCCACTTCCCATGTTTTCCAATCTTTTCCTGGGAGTCGACGACTCATTGTGTCCGCGTGCTTCCTTCACTCCTGAATGCACACGAGTCGGATCGGCGGAGGTCGGCAGCCGAGTCGGGAGGAAAGGGATCGACGGAAATCGGCGGGCTTCTATGCCTCCGACGAGAGATCTCGGAACCCGGACCGGAATCTCCAGTCGACCCGGAGTCGGGATCGGAGGCCATCGAAATCGAACCAGAACGGATCGGAGGCATCGAGACGAGCCCTGCGGGGAGCCTCCCGAGCCTCGCCGAGGCGGCCTGGGCCAAAACGGCTGCGGAGAGGGGGGGGAGGAGCGGCGAGCAGCAGCAAGCTCGAGAGGAGGGGCAGGAGCGGGGCAGCGCCAGTGTTAGGTTTAGGTCGGGCCTGTCCCCCTACAGGGGGATTTTCGACGAAAAATAAAAAATACCCCCGAAATAATAAAAAGAAACATCCAAACATAGTCTGGAGACTATTGTTGGATTTTCGTTTGACCTTTTGGGGGTATGTTTTGGGTATTTTTTATTTTCAGTCGAAAATCCCCCTGTAGGGGGACACGCCCGATATAACACCAGTGTTAGGTTGGGCATGTCCCCCTACAGGGGGATTTTGGACGAAGATCTACAACTGCCTCAACATATGCTCAAGAACACATCCACACATAGGGGAACAGTCGTCCCCAGACTGTTTTGCTTGGACTATTTTTGAACATTCCTCCTGCAGAGGGACGCGCCCGACTTACGGCTACGGAGAGGGGGGGAGGAGTCGCGAGCAGCAGCAGGCTCGAGATGGGAGGCAGAGTCGGGCTGCTTAAAGAAGGAACGATCAACAAGGAACCAAGCCCCTTTTTGGCCCCACAAGCGCCTGCGTGCACGAGGAAGGCTAGAGGAAAAGCCATAGAAGGACCTAAGGAATATCGAGCCCCTTTCTTATCCAAACTGCTCCTTATCTCAGCGACTTGGCTGCAGGAGCGGGGCAGCACCAGTGGTCCGACGGATGCACGGCCGACTCGGGGGCGACTGGGGCCCTGCGCGGGGAGGCCTCCGTCGGCGAGGCGCGAGGTTTTTTTGGGCCTGCTCGCCGTTTCGGCGAGCGAGGGGGGGGAGGTTTTCGGGCGGTCTTCGCAGTCTTCGGGCTCGAGGTTCTCGGGCGTGCTCGTCGTGTCCTGGCGGCCTTCCGCCCTCGGGGTGCGTTCCAGCGGCTGCGCCTCGCCGAGAGCGTTCCAGGGGTACCCAGATCGTCCCGAACGGTCCTCCTCCTCGTCCTCCTCGTCCTCGTCCTCGTCCTCGTCGTCGTCCTCGTCGTCCTCGTCGTCCTCCTCCTCCTCCTCCTCCTCCTCCTCCTCCTCCTCCTCCTCCTCCCAGGAGAGCCGAGTTATGACCCAGAGGCCAAATCCGGCGGCGCGCTCGGAAGGGAAAAGGGAAGGATGAGGCCTTCTCCGAAGGCGGCGGCGCTTCCCAGAGGCCTCCCGACGGCCTCAAGGCCTTCTGAGAGGCTGTGCCTTCGCGGATGGCTTGGGGAGCTTCTCAGAACTGGCCGTCGCTCGGACGTCCATTCCCTGTGTTGTTTTTCGGTTTCGTGCGTGGTTTTTCGGCAAATGATCAATGATGCTCTTCGATGGTCCTCGCCGGAGGAAAAATACACACGTCCGAGCGATGCCAAGAGAAGGTTGGGGGACTTTCGAGCTTTCCGAGAAGGCCCGCCCCCTCTCACTTCCCCTTTTGGGCTCGCCGCCGACTCCGGCGCCACAACGAGGCCCCCCTCACGGGAACACCGAGGGGGGCTCGCCTGGGCACAGCACACCGCTCGAGGGCGGAGGACGAGGACGAGGATGAAGAGGAGGAGGAGCAGCAGCAGAGGAGGCCGCAGGAGTCCACAGGTGGGCGAAGACGAGCAAGCGTGAGAGCTCTTTCGGTCGGAGGCCCCGTGGCCAGGCAGGCCCAGCAAGTCGCCCATGGCCGGGGACAGGGCGCACCCCACGATCTCCAGAACCTCCCTCTCGTACACATTGTCGGTGAGTCCGTCGGTGAAGAGTCCGCGGACGCACCCACGGATTGCGTGGTCAGCCCCTCCCGCCTCTTCCTACTCCTACTCACGATGCTGGCGCAAACAGGATACCTGGTCGGTGTGCCACTCTCGGTCACCAGCTCCCGCGGGCCCGAATCGTGAGAAAGAGCCTTCCTCGCCACCCGCGATCGCATAACTGCAATGCGCTGGCAGCGCTGTTCATGACTCTGGTGACGTGTATGATGTGCTAGAAGCTAGAAGCCACATCATCCTCTCAGACGGGGGCCATTCACTAGAAATTGCCCTCGAGTGCAAGATAGAAAATCATCAGAATGCCGACGGTCGCTCATCGCAGCCCTTCGTCGAGCCATACGGAGTTGATCTATTGATCTAGCTTTCGGTCGTACGCTGCAGATGGCATCCGAAAGCCGCATCTAGGACTTGCCACTGTTCGGTGACATTCCTTTTGGATAAACCAGGTGTTGGGCCGACAGGCGCTATTCGGGTCTAGGCTGCTCCTTCGGCTGCGCAGGAACGTCACGCGGCCACTCATTCACGTCATGATGGGAACTCCACACGCAAAACCCAATCTTTTCCCTCCACGATCTGCATGCCCCGTGGTCCTGGACTGTACTTGCTCGCATCCCTGTCGTACCGCAAGTGGTGCCGACAGCGGCCCCGAGTGCACATGACGGCGCAGGACTCCTGGCGACTCGGCACGGCCCCGAGAGCATGGACTCGTGCTTCGCGGGGGATAACGGGTACGTTATCGAACGCTATGGTGGCACTCGAGTTCGCGAGTTCTCTGAGTCGTTCGTCGCGATGATGGATCAAAGAAATCCGTACGCGTTGCTTCTGCACCCCACGCAATGCACCAACGGATACGACAACGATTCTTCAGCCGTCACTTTGTGGGAACTCCGCTGAGGTGGGGATGGGTACGATCTCCGCCAGGTTTCGCAGCACCCATCCCCACCTGGAGAGGGATACTGCGAGTTCCGACCTGCCCTGTGGGGGTTGAGATGGTTCTTGGGGAAATCAAAAGGTACCGACACCACCACTCCGCGGACCTCTGCCAGGGTGCATTTTGACCAGGAGGATCTCAAGGCGAATCGAAAGGTGGCGACGAGGGCCGCCCATGAGGCCCAAAAAGGGGAAAACGGAGGAAAGGTAGCGGTATGGGTACCTTTCGCCGTGTTCAGGGGGAGGGGGGGGGCATGTCTGGGCACCTCGCAGCGGGCGGCATGTACCTTGTTGCCCATGGTGTCCTGCCGCCCTTTTGCTGCGAGGTCCGACTGCATGTGAACTCATGCGCGCGCCTTGGACACTCTGTTTGGGGTGGTGGGCCGCTCCCTGAGCGGCCAGTCCAGGTGGTTGTGCCGGGCATAGCAAAAGGTGCCGTGGAGGCCAGTCCGCAAGACACCCTCCACAAGAAGCCCAACCCTGAGCCCCCAGGACGTCCATGGATTCTTCGTGTGGGCACGTCACGCTTCCCGTCGCAAGGCCACCGAAGCCCAAGAAACCCCAGGCACACTGGATTGTCGGCGCGCAGAAGGGGGTGGAGGGAGGGGGAGGGCTTCTTAGGAGGCTGCTCCTCAGAAGGCTCCGGCCTTACATCTATAGACAAAGCCCGCGCCCTCTAAGAAGCAGGGGTGCTCCTAACGAGCCATCCCCCCTCCCCCCACCCCCCTCTGCGCGTGGCTGACTGGAGGCAAGCAAGGTGTTTCTTGGCATGGGTCTCTCCACTAGAGGCCTCCTAGATGGGGTCCCAGCAGATGGGGTCGGAGGGTCTCGCCGCATCGCCGATACATCGGCGATGCATCGCCGATGCATCGGCGATGCATCGGCCATGCACTGGCGACGTCGGCGATACATCCGCGACGCCGGCGTGGAGAAAATTGGGCCCCACATCGAGCCGCATTGCCGAGCCCCACATCGAGCCGCGATCCTCCGACCCCACCTGCTCGGACCCCATCTGGGAGGCTGAGATCCACTGCATGGGTACCTCTTCCTCCTCCGCGTTCTGCCCTGGCTGCCCTGCAGCCTCCCCCCGGGGGGGCTCCCTGCGGGCGCTGGCCGCGCCCCCCCCCCCCCCCCCCCCCCCCCCCCCCGAGGAGCGCGCAGTGCACCCCGTGCCCCGGGCAGGTGCCCTCTCCGGAGGGGCCAGAGGTGTGCTCGCAGAGGGGCCTCGGGGCCTGAGTCCGGCTGCGAGGAGGCGGCCCCTCCTCCTCCTCCTCCTCCTCCTCTTCCTCCTCCTCTCCTCTCCGCCTCCTCTCCTCCCTCCTCCTCCTCCTCCTCCTCCTCCTCCTCCTCCTCCTCCTCCCTCCTCCTCCTCCCCCTCCTCCTCTCCCCCTCCTCCTCCTCTCCTCCCTCCCCTCCCCCTCCTCCTCCTACCTCCTCATCCTTTTCCTCCTCCTCCTCCTCCTCCTCCTCCTCCTCCTCTTCCTCCTCCGGTGCCGAGGCGGGCGAGGGGCGCCTCCGACCTCGATCGTCCGCGCGCCCGGGGGGGGGGAAGCTTTGGGAGTCCCGACAAACGGTGTGGCGGCAGACCGCGCGGCGACCTCGAGATGCCCCATAAGGCCTCACCGCACGGTCCGTCAAGGCCCCGTCTTGGGGACCTCGGAGGCCCCTGTCGCCCGAGACCTCCTCGGAGAGGGGCTCGGGTCCCAAAGCCGTGCGGTGACCTCGAGTCCCCACCGACTCGCCGCACGGTGTGGTCACCACCCCGCCTGGGGGTCCCCGAGAAGCGGGGAAAGGCGGGCCTTCGCAGAAGGCTCGGGATTCCCCTTCCTTCCGAGAAGCTCTTTAAGCCTTCGTCCCCGAAGACCCCGAGGCCTTCTCAGAAGGCCAAGGCCGGCGCGCCTTCTGGGAAGTCCCGCCGCCTTCCGAGAAGGCCTCCTCCTTTACACTTCCCCACCTGGCTCGCCGCCGACGATAAGGAGACGCAATTTCACACGGTGGGGGCATTGGACAAGGAACCCTTGGACAAGGACTCCAAGGTCTGGGAGCCAGTGGAACTTAAATTGTGGATTGGCCACGGACATCACCGCCGCCCTCATCAGATAGGGAACCCTCCAGGGTCCGAAGCCTTCTGGGCACATTCCTCATCGACCGCCCCCACCGTAAGTATGACCTTTCGGCGGTCCGCGCGGATTCCTCTGGGCCCTCCTCCCTGGCGCGCGGAGCGCGCAGGGGGCGGCGCCGCCAGAGGGCCACGACGCCGACCCCAGAAATCCGTGCGGACCTTTTTCGAAAGCCCCACTGTGCTCATGTCTTCTTTCGGGCATTGG